GGGATTATAGGTATGAGCCACTATGCCTGGCCTGTCTTTTTTACTTTGTTGATAGTGTCCTTTGAAGCACAACTCTTTTTAATTTTGATGAAGCCCAATTTCTCTATTTTTAGTCTGATTTCTTATGCTTCATGGCATCATATCTAAGACACTGCCTAATTCAAGATCATGAATATTTACACTTATATTTTCTTCTAAGAGTTTTCTAGTTTTAGCTATTCATTTAGCTTCTTTAACTTTTACATATGATGTGACATAGGGTCCAAATTCATTCATTTGATTGTGGACATCCAGTTGTCCCAGCACCATTTATTGAGAATACTATTCTTTCTCCATTTGATTGTCTTGGCACTCTTGTCAAAAAAAAAAAAAAAATCAATTGTCCATAAATGTATGGGTTTATTCCTAGACTTTAAAAAAAATTTGAGGCTGGGCGCAGTGGCTCAAGTCTGTAATCCCAGCACTTTGGGGAGCCAAGACGGGCGGATCACGAGGTCAGGAGATCAAGACCATCCTGGCTAACACGGTGAAATCCCGTCTCTACTAAAAAATACAAAAAAAAAACTAGCCGGGCGAGGTGGCTACTCGGGAGGCTGAGGCAGGAGAATGGCGTAAACCTGGGAGGCGGAGCTTGCAGTGAGCAGAGATCCGGCCACTGCACTCCAGCCCGGGCAACAGAGCAAGACTCTGTCTCAGAAAAAAAAAAAAATTTGAGACAGAGTCTCACTCTGTCACCTAGGCTGGAGTGCAGTGGTGTGATCTCCACCTCCCAGGTTCAAGCGATTCTTGTGCCTCAGCCTCCTGAGTAGCTGGGACTACAAGCGTATGCCACCACATCTGGCTGGCTAATTTTTGTAAATATTTTTAGTAGAGATGAGGTTTCACCATGTTGGCCAAGCTGGTCTCAAACTCCTGACCTCAAGTGATCCACCTGCCTCAGCCTCCCAAAGTGCTGGGATTACAGGCATGAGCCATCATGCCTGGCCTATTTCTAGACCCTTAATTCGATTCCAATGAACTATAGACAGTACCATACTATCTTGGTTACGGCAGTTTTGCAGCAAGTTTTGAAACTGAGAACTATGAGTCCTCCAATTTTGTTAGTTTTGGTTATTCTGGGCCCCTTGCAATTCCGTATACATTTTAGGAGCAGCTTGTCAATTTGTACAAAGAAGCCAATTGGGATTTTTTTTAGGAATTGTGTTGAATCTGTACATCAATTTGGGGAGTGGAGACATCTTAACAACACTAAGTTTATCCAATCAATGAATACGGGGGTCTTTCCATTTACTTGGGTCTTCTTTACTGTTTATTAGCTCTAAAAGTTTTTTGGGAAATTCTTCATGATTTTTTATATGCAAGATTATATCATCTACAAATAGAGGCAGATTTACTTCTTCTTTTCCAACCTTTCGTTTGGATGCCTTTCGTTTCTTTTTTCTTGTCTAATTGCCCCAACAGAACAAAGTGAAATAGAAGATATTTAACTTTGAGAGAGCAGACATCTTTATCTTCTTTGTGATCTTAAGGGAAAGGCTTTGTCTTTCTTCTATTTTCTTTCTTTCTTTTTTTTTTTTCTTTAAGAGACAAAGTCTGGCTATATTGTCCAGGCTGGTCTCTAACTCCTGGCCTCAAGCAATCCTCCTGCTCAGCCTCCAAAATACCTGGGACTACAAGCATCCACCACTGTGCTTGGCTTCTTTTATTAAGTATGATGTTAGTTATAGGGTCTTCATAGATGTCCTTTATCAAGTTGAGGAAATGCTCTTCTATTTATTATTGAGGTTTTTTAAAAATGTGTTGGATTTTGTCAAATGCTTTTCTGCATCTATTGAGACAGTAATGTAGCTTTTGTCCTTTATTCTACTAATATGATATGTTACATTGACTGATTTTCATGTTGAACCAATCTTGCATTCCTGGGATAAATCCCACTTGGGGCAGGGTGTGATGGCTCACACCTGTAATCCCAGCACTTTGGGAGGCTGAGGTGGGAGGATCACTCCAGTTCAGGAGTTTGAGACCAGCCTGGCCAACATGGTGAAACCCCATCTCTACTAAAAATACAAAAAAATGAGCTGAGCATGGTGCTGCATGCCTGTAGTCCCAGCTACTCAGGAGGCTGAGGCAGGATAATTGCTTGAGCCGAGAAGGCAGAGGTTGCAGTGAGTTCAAACTGCACAATTAACACTCCAGCCTAGGCGACAGGGCGAGACACCATCTCAAAAAAAAAAAAAAATTCCACTTTGTCATCGTGTATAATCCTTTTTTATATGTTGCTGGATTCGGTTTGCTAACTCTGTGGAGGACTTGTGCATCTATATTCAGGGATATCAATCTGTAGTTTTCTTTTCTTGTGATTCTTTATTTGGGTTAGCCCACCTTGGGTTTTGTACTAGCTGTTCCTCTGCCTGGAATGCTCTTCTCTGATCTAGGCATGGCTGGCTCCTTATTGTCTTTCAGATCTCAGCTTAAGTGTCAGAGAGAGGCTTTCCCCATCACCAATCTAAAATAACCTCCAGTTATTCTATCACATGATCCTATTTTTATTTTCATCAAGGAATTCATCACACCATTTGATTTTTTTTTTTGAGACAGAGTTTTGCTCTTGTTGCCCAGGCTGGAGTGCAATGTGCGATCTCGGCTCACCATAACCTCCACCTCCTGGGTTCAAGCAATTCTCCTGCCTCAGCCTCCCAAGTAGCTGGGATTACAGGCATGTGCCACTTGGCCTGGCTAATTTTTTTGTATTTTTAGTACAGACAGGGTTTCTCCATGTTGGTCAGGCTGGTCTCGAACTCCTGACCTCAGGTGATCCGCCTGCCTTGGCCTGCCAAAGTGTTGAGATTACAGGTGTGAGCCACCGTGCCCGGTCTTTTTTTCTTTCCTTTTGAGACAGAGTCTTGCTCTGTTGCCCAGGCTGGAGTGCAGTGGCATGATCTCGGCTCACAGCAACCTCTGCCTCCTAGGTTCAAGCAATTCTCCTCCCTCAGCCTTCCTAGTAGCTGGGATTATAGGCACATGCCACTACACCCAGCTAATTATTTTGCGTGTTTTTAGTACAGACAGGGTTTCATCATGTTGGTCAGTCTGGTCTCAAACTCCTGACCTCAGATGATGCATCTGCCTCAGCCTCCCAAAGTGCTGGGATTACAGGCATGAGCCACCATGCCTGGCCTGATTTTTTTTTTTTTTTTTTTGCTTATTTGTTGTCTGTCCTCCCACACCACCTGTATCTATAATACCTAGTACATTGCTTGACACATAATAGGCCTTCAATAAATATTTTGTTTAATGAACGAATGAATAATAGCAGCTATCATTTAATGAGTACCTATTGTGTGCCAGATACTGTACAAGATACTGTAAATACATTATACCAGCCCTGATATTCCAATGAACAAACTAAAGCTCGGAGGTTAAATAACTTTCCTGAGTCTACAAAGTTAGGAAGTAGCAGAGTCAAGATGGAACCCAGCTCTGTCTGGCCCTATAGTCCTTGTTTCCTGATGCCACTCTGTGGCAGCAGGAAAATGATAGGATTTGAAGTAAGACAGATCTCGTTCAAAACCTGACACTGACTTTCATTAACTAGCAACACGACATTGAGTAACACTTAATAACAATTCATCATCTACTTTAAGCCTCAATTTCTTCAACTTTAAAATGGGATGATAGGCCGGGCGCGGTGGCTCAAGCCTGTAATCCCAGCACTTTGGGAGGCCGAGGCGGGCGGATCACAAGGTCAGGAGATCGAGACCACAGTGAAACCCCGTCTCTACTAAAAATACAAAAAATTAGCCGGGCGCGGTGGCGGGCGCCTGTAGTCCTAGCTACTCAGGAGGCTGAGGCAGGAGAATGGCGTGAACCCAGGAGGCGGAGCTTGCAGTGAGCCGAGATCGCGCCACTGCACTCCAGCCTGGGCAACAGCGTGAGACTCCGTCTCAAAAAAAAAAAAAAAAAAAAAAAAAAAAAAAATGGGATGATAATAACTATAACATAAGTCTGTGATCCTCCTTACTGAAGAATTTAGCATGCTATAGATATCCAATGGTCGTTCCCCATTTTACCCAACATTAATAACAGAGATGGTCCATTAAAAACCACACACTTGGCCAGGCACAGTGGCTCATGCCTGTAACCCCAGCACTTTGGGAGGCTGAGGAGAGCAGATCACTTGAGTTCAGGAGTTCAAGACCAGCCTGGGCAACATGGCAAAACCCAGTCTCTACAAAAAAATACAAATGTAGCCAGGTGTGGGGGTGTGCGCCTGTGGTTGCAGCTACTCAGGGGCTGTCACAGGAGGCTCACTTGAGCCTGGGAGGCAGAGGTGGCAGTGAGCCAAGGTTTCGCCGCTGTACTCCAGGCCTGGGTGACAGAGCCAGACCCTGTCTCAAAAAATAAAACAAAACACACACACACACACACACACACACACACACGGTAAGCCCAGTGTTCTTATAACACAAGTAGCTATTGGAATGAAAGAAAAAAACCCCACAAATTTATCAATGAACTGAGAATTTAACTCAGACATTTGAACAAACTGTTATATTACCACACTTGGTGTACCATATGTAGAAATCAATGATTTAACAATCTGATTGTAAAACATTGGCCAAAGGCAGAAAGACATATTGGAAAAAACACAGGATTAGGAGTGAGAAGATTTAAGTTCATTATTTAGTGACTGGACATTCCTGTTAGTCATCTCATTTTCTTTCCCCTCACCTATGAAGTAGGATAGTAAAACCTGGTTATGTGAAACTACAATATACATATATTTAAAAGTGCTTTGTGAATTCTAAGGTCTCTATAAACACTTTAAACAGTTGAAAGAATTTTTAAGAATAAATTTCATGTTTCCTAGGTTTTGTTCCTAAGATAAACCTTTTATTTGGGATACATTTGGGATTATTCCTAAATAAAAATATTTAGAAAGCAAATTACACACATAGAAAACCAACTAGGCAAAACTGCAACCTGACTTCCCAACTTACTATATTTCCAATGGCACGGTAAAGTCTGAATATTTGTTCTGAAGTTTGTTCCTCCCATTTTACACAACTGGTACCAGCAGAAATCTTAGGGGCTACAAGATAAAGCCAAGAGCAAAAATGAACATCAGGGTCAATGTCCATGAATTGATAGCTATTGATACTAAGTAAGAGATACCAGAGAATTCATTCTAATCTCTCGACTTTTCTATATGTTCAAAATTTTCCATATATCAAGTAAAAATAATACATAAATAATCACATAAATACTAAAAGAAAACATGGGTGAACTTCTTCACATCCTGGGGGTAGAAAATACCCTTCTAACTATGAAATGAGACTAAACTTTTTTTTTTGAGACAGGGTTTTGCTGTTACCCAGGCTGGAGTGCAGTGGCATGATCTCAGCTCACTGCAACCTCCACCTCCCAGGCTCAAGAGATTCTCTCTCAGCCTCTCGAGTAGCTGGGACTACAGGCATGCACTACCATGCCTGGCTAATTTTTTGTATTTTTAGTAGAGAAGGGGTTTCGCCATGTTTGCCAGGCTGGTCTTGAACTCCTAACCTTAAGTGATCCACCTGCCTCATCCTCCCAAAGTGCTAGGATTAGATGCGTGAGCTACCATGCCTAGCCAAAATAAACTTTTTTTTTTAATGAGACAAAAAGAAATGCCATAAGTTAAATCAAAAAACAAATGACAAACCGAATTTGCAAATTATCTCAGAGAGGACTAATCTCTCTATTATGAAATACAAGTACTCAAAAAACGGAAAAGAAAAAGACCAAAATGTTGATAGAAAAATGGGCAAAAGATATAACACTACCCAGAAAAAAGAAATGCAAATAGTTCTTAAATATATGAAAAGATCTTCAACATTACTGACAAGAATAAGGTACATTAAAACTACTCCACGTAGTTTTACTATACTATTACAAATAACTATGTGCATGTTATCTTCCTAATCTTACTAGTACTATTATTTGAAATAGCAAAAGATTGGAAATAACCCAAATGCCCACCAATCAGACATCTGTTGGGTAAATTATGATATATTTACATAACTGAGAACTATGCCATCATAAAAAAACAAAAAGGAGGCCAGGCATGCCTTTGGGAGGCCAAGGCAGGAGGATGGCTTGAGTCTAGGAGTTCAAGACCAACCTGAGCAAAACAGTTAGAACTTGTCTCTGCAACAAATTAAAAAATTAGCCAGGCATGGTGGAATGTACCTGCAGTCCCAGCTACTCGGGAGGCTGAGGTGGGAGGACTGCTTGAGACTGGGAGTTTGAGACTGCAGTAAGCCATGACCACACTTCTGCACTCCAGCCTAGGTAACAGAGACTCTATCTAAAAAAAAATGCAAGAAAGAAAGAGGAAAATCTCTTCTTACTAATAGGAAGTAGTCGCCAAGATACACTATTAAGTGAAAAAACAAAGGCATAGAAGAATATGTATTTTATGCCACCTTTTGTGAAGGAAAAATAAAAAATAACACTATGTATGTGTTTGCTTATTTTGGCAAAAGGAAACACTGGAAGACTAAATCAGAAGCTAATAAAAATGTTACCTATAGAGGGAGGAATACGGGTTAGATGAGATAGAGAGACTGAAGTAGGACTTCTATGAGTATACCTTTCTAAGCTGTTTTAACTTTTGAAGCATGTAAACATTTTATGCATTCAAAAAATAAAATTTAATCATAAAAGAAAATAAAGCAACCCTTAAAATAAAAAAGTAAAAAAAAAAAACAACTGAAACTTAACTATGTATGAAACTAGGTAACAAAACCACATGGAAAAAATAACCATTACCAGGAAGTTTTGAAGGCAGTAATCTGACTGTATATCCTTAGGATATATTCTAAGGCTCAAAAAGGAAAACTGCAAAGAAATCTTAAATCTTACTATTTTTACTGTTAGTAGTAATACTGGTATTGTAATGCTGAAATGATGTTATGAATAGCAAATAAATAGGTTAATATTTAAAAAAAGATAGTGTGAGAAAATATAAGGAAAACCCTTTAATGATAAATTTGAATCATAAACAATGTAAGCTTAAATATTTTTTAAAAATGTACTTTCTAGTTTTGTCCACTGATATCTTATCTTGCCACACACTGTTGTATCAGATGATCTCTAACTATTGACCCCACTAAAATGAACAAGAGCTCCCTGGAAATCACACTGGTAGATTTCAATGTGGGCCAGAGGACACATAGGGGAGCTGGGACATTACTGTGGTGGAAGCAAGGACGCACTCCAGACTAGTGGGAAATGAAGAGTGTTAACAGAATATAGGAGCCAAATTTAAGGGGCTCCCACTGGGCAATATGGGAAATTTGATCAATACAAAGAATTACGACTGTAAAACACAATCAGTGAAAATCTACATGTCAAATGATACTAAAAAGAACACATCTGACACCAAAACTGAAGGCAATTAATGGCATCAACTTCTTATGCTAACTAAAGAAAGAATTAAGCCCCTGTCCCCATTTTAGGATTAACTAAAATTCATCTCCAATGAATGAGGAAAAACTCTTCTTTTCAGAACAATACCAGCTATTAAATGTAAAAGGAATTAGAAAATTGCCATTTTGTAATCCATAGTGAAATAATTCATTTGGGTAAGGAATATCAAACTGTACTAAAACCATCATGTGAAAGGTTGTTGGTGAACAGGATATCTGCACAGTGCCAGAGTATTACCCCACAGATTACCTGCTAATTGCAAAAGGGAAAACACATCTTAACACTGGAAAGATCTGGTGGTCACCATCTCAACCAAGTGATCAAATTTAGCTTCACTTGCTTTAGTAAAACCTGATACCTTGGCTTACTCAAGTGGTACCTTAAGACTGCAGGGGACAAAAGTAAGACTTCTCTAGGTATATTAACTTTTGAATCAGCTATATGTTTTGTATATTCAAAAAATAACATTTAATCATAAAGAAAAATAAAAAGTAATCCCTAAAATTAAAAAACTGAAACAAATGTTTATACTCCTAACTCTACTAAAAAAAAAAAAAGAAGAAAACAAACGTCACTGAAACACACTCTTTCCAAAAACGTTCAGCCTGAATCCAGCCAAACCTTTAGAACTAATTATAGGAAATATAAGTGATAGGGAACAAGTTAAACAACACTGGAAGAAAACAAACAAATCAAATAACTGGCCTGGTCTCTTCAAAAAGTCAATGACATACAGCGAGGAAAAAAAGAGGAATCTTTTTTAGAAACTAAAGAGACATAACAACTAATTACAACTAAATCCTAGTTTCAAAAATAAAACAACTATAAAATAAATTTTTAGACAATTAGGAACACTTAAAGATGAATTGAACATTGGATGCTATTACGAAATTGTTCATGTTTCTTAGGAAAAGCACACTACTTAGAAATGAAAGATCATGATTCATACTTCCAAATGAATAAGCAAAATTTAAAATACACATACTAAATACATAGAAAGAAAGAAAATATGGACAAACATTAATAATTGTTGACTCTGGGGTAAACTGGTGTTTATTATACCAGTCTTTCTATTTAATATTTTCAAAATCAAAAATTTGGGAAAAAATGCTTAATCCTTCATGAGGCTATATGCTAAGAGGGAGAAAGAATGCTTTCTACCATTCTGTGGAAAAGCACATAAAAGTGGGCACTCAATCAAAATTAAGGGAAAAGTACAGCTAAGAAGTCAGAATGTTCAGATGCTATCATGACAAGCAGAACCTTTAGAAAGATGTGAGAGTCTGCAGCCCCCACTCACCATAAGTCGCCCCCTCTGTTGGCTGCTGCCTTCCATTGCTCAGACTTGCAGGCAAATTTTTCAAAACTGAAATGAGCTACAAAAAAAAAAGAGAATGAACATAAGAATGAACATAAGAACAAAATGAACATAAGAACAAAAGCAGAAACACATTACAATTCAGTACCATGAAATAACCTGTAACTTTCTTTTTTTTCTTTTTCTGTTTTTCAATTTAAAAAATTTTTTTCTTTACTATTGGCTCTTCAAGGCTGAACCTATAACTTTAAAAGATCTATGTGGCAGGGCAAGGTAGTACATTGGCTTAAGCTGTGAGGATAGGTGTCTACTTGGGGAAACCTCAGTAGAGATTCTGCTGTCTGTAGACACAGGTCATTGATTCACTTCTAGAGAATGCTGTGGAAGCTTTGGCATCGGGAGAGCCCGTGCTTGGCTATACACACTCTCACCCCATGGGTAAAAAGGCAGTGAAATCTCATAAGAGAATGTACTATGGAGTCACCTAGCTCTGGGTTCAAGTCCTAGTTCCACCACCTACCAGCTGTCTCACTGTGGAAAAGTTATTTAGCTTGTCTCTGGCCTTCGATGTCATCATCTGTGAAACAATCAACAGCAACAACTACCTCAAAGTTGGGAGGGTAAAAAAAAAGTCCACAGAGTATCTAGAACAGTCGTAGTACACAAGCCAATGTTCAATAAATGGCAGTCACTATCATTAAGATCATTTGTGAGGTAAGTGCCTAGAACAGGAAACACCATCTATACAGGTGGGGAAAAAAAAATATTCCTCTGTATAAAATTAACCCGTTCATATGGAAAACATAAATTTAGTCATTAAACATTTACCCTGACGCTACTCATGCAGTCTCAATGAGCTATATATACAAAGCCACAGAGAGAAGAAAGATCATCTACAGGTAGAACGGTCAGCAGAATTCTAGCATAAATGACTGAAGCCAGGCAAAGAAATGGAAGGAAAGTTAAGAGTCGCTTAGGAAGTTGCTGTTAGTTCATTCTGACGGGGATGCAAGGTATACATAGGAAAGTGCGAAGACTGAAATTGGGAAGAATAGTCTAAGGCCACACTATGACATGTAGTAGGCCATATAAGATCACCTGTCTCACTCGAAAGCCTTTATTTAGTACTTACTCCTCGTAAAATTCTCAAAGATTTACATAAGATCACAAATGCCAGGCTAAGTTTTAGGACGCCAAAGACAGAAACTACCCTTTTTTGTTTTCAAGAAAATTAGAAGTCACAAAATTGTTCTTCTTTTCATAACCACTTAGGAAACCCACTAAATGAGTAAAAAGCAGTAGAATTTTACCATGTTGGCACCCAGTCGTGACAACACTGCTTCCAATTCCTTTGCAGTGCTCTTGGGTGGCACAGGAATAGTTTCTTGTTTAAGAATTGGACCTACATCAAACCTAGCAAAAAATCAAAAGTAAATAACAATGATTACTATTTCCTGAATCAATGTTTGTCTACACACAAAAAGACACAAGCTGGGTACAGCGGTCTGCATGCCTACAGTCCCAGTTGCTCAGGAGGCTGAGGCAGCAGAATTGCTTGATCCCTGGAGTTTGAGACCAGCCTGGGCAACACAGCTAGCCCTTATCTCTTAAAAAATAAAAAAATAAATAAAGATAGTTTATACCGGCTATTAATTTGGCTGTTAGCCATTAGCAAGGAAGATACGTCAGTTTGAAAGATGGGAAAACAGCCGGGCGCAGTGGCTCAAGCCTGTAATCCCAGCACTTTGGGAGGCCGAGACGGGCGGATCACAAGGTCAGGAGATCGAGACCATCCTGGCTAACCCGGTGAAACCCCGTCTCTACTAAAAAATACAAAAAACTAGCCGGGCGAGGTGGCGGGCGCCTGTAGTCCCAGCTACTCTGGAGGCTGAGGCAGGAGAATGGCGTGAACCCGGGAGGCGGAGCTTGCAGTGAGCTGAGATCCGGCCACTGCACTCCAGCCTGTGCGACAGAGCGAGACTCCGTCTCAAAAAAAAAAAAAAAAAGAAAGATGGGAAAACAAAATATGGCCTGTATTTAGAGTCTAAATTTTTTTCCTAAAGCAAAGAAAGAATACAGTTGCATATCAGGAATTTAATTACAATTACAGAAAAATTATACCATCAGTAATAGCATGAAAAAAATCTCTGTATATGAAAAGCATAGGCCGGGCGCGGTGGCTCAAGCCTGTAATCCCAGCACTTTGGGAGGCCAAGACGGGCGGATCACGAGGTCAGGAGATCGAGACCATCCTGGCTAACACAGTGAAACCCCGTCTCTACTAAAAAATACAAAAAACTAGCCGGGCGAGGTGGCGGGCGCCTGTAGTCCCAGCTACTCAGGAGGCTGAGGCAGGAGAATGGCGTAAATCCGGGAGGCGGAGCTTGCAGTGAGCTGAGATCCGGCCACTGCACTCCAGCCTGGGCGACAGAGCGAGACTCCGCCTCAAAAAAAAAAAAAAAAAAAAAAAAAAAAAAAAAAAAAGAAAAGCATAAGGCAAAGAATTTATTTTCCATGAAGTACAGTTAGGATATTCATAATTATTTCTTTCTATAGTCCCTTCCTCAAAGGATAAGAATTTTGCCTAGATTATCACCATGGGTGATTATAAGTAGGGCCAGGCGCGGTGGCTCATGCCTGTAATCACGGCACTTTGAGAGACCGAAGTGGGCGGATCACGAGTTCAAGAGATCGAGACCATCCTGGCCAACATGCTGAAACCCTATCTCTACTAAAAATACAAAAAATTAGCTGGGTGTGGTGGCGTGTGCCTGTAGTCCTAGCTACTCGGGAGGCTGCAGCAGGAGAATCGCTTGAACCTGGGAAGCAGAGGTTGCAGTGAGCTGAGATCACTGCACTACATTCCAGCCTGGGTGACAGAGTGAGACTTCACTTCAAGAAAAAAAAAAAGTAAATGCAAGTATATTTGCACTCCCACAAGTCTGACATTTTACATCAAGCTCTGTAAACACTGGCCATGGGTTTTCATGAGAAATATGCTTTATTTAAATTTTTTTGCTTTGTGTTTTTGTTAATTCTATTTCTAACCTAGGAGCTTTAATAATATGTTTATTGTGAAAAATTGCAAACATTCACAAAAACAGAGTGAACAGTCTAATGAATCATCATATACACATCATTCAGATTTTTTTTTTTTTGAGACAGGTTTTTGCTCCATCGCCTAGGCTGGAATGCAATGGCGCGATCTTGCCTCACTGCAGCCTCAACCTCCTAGGCTGAAGAGATCCTCTCACCTCAGCCTCCTGAGTAGCTGGGACTACAGGTGTGTACCACCACACCTGGCTAATTTTTTTATTTTTTATATGTTGCCCAGGGTGGTCTCGAACTCCCGGACTCAAATGATCTTCCCACCTCGGCCTCCTAAAGTGTTAGGATTACAGGCATGAGCCACCATGCCTGGCTCAGATTTTAGAACTACCAAAGTTTTGCCACTGTTGTCTCATCTACTCCCTCTCTTGTTTTCTGAAGTAAGTTAAAGCAAATCCCAGATACCATGTTGTTCTTGTGAGCTTGTGAATTATGCTTTTCTAAGGGGAAATTAGGTGGTAACAGGCAGAGACTGAATAAACTCCTCAAGTAATTCTAAATAATTGTTCCTAAAAAATTGTTCTAAATTGTTTCTAAATTGTTCTGTAGGTATGACAGGACAAAATGAATGTTTTAGGACAATTATATTGCATATTGATATACAATATATTCTCATTTCAGGTTCCAAAAATTTTTTGGCCATAGTTTAGAAACCAAGGCCAGCAAAACCAAGATTCAAAACAATTAACATACAAAAATCCATCTCTCATTTATATAATATCTTTTATAGAAATCCAAGTATGAATAATATAACTGATTTCAATTAACAAATTAAAATTTTCATATGAACTTTAAAGAGACCCTACATAAATACCAAAAGACATATAGTTGATGTTAGAATCCAGGAGAAAACAGAAAGGATATAAAAGCAAACAGAAGCACTCTGGAGTCACAAAAATTAGTGAGCACCACCCATTCATCCATTGCCCCCCAAACAGGCTGACATCAACATTTAAAATCACAAAAATCTCAAGAAAGAAAAATACACGCTACCTTTTAGGTCTAATTTGCATAATTGTTACTCCAGTAACTGTGTCTCCATGAAGCACTGTATGGATTACAGGGGCTGGGCCACGCCATCTCGGGAGGCAACTGGGATGGACATTCAATATGCCACTGAGTTAGAAGATGCAGAAATTAGTATGTCAGTGGGCTTTACCACTTTGTTACCAGTACCTAAGCTATTATGCTACTTTTCATTATGAAACTTTCCCAGAAATTTGGAAAAACTGACAGTTAAATCTAAGTCTTGTATCACCTGAAACGAAAAAAGTTAGATGTTAATTCTCTTATCATAAGAAACCAATGAAATTTAATTAAAAACAGAACCAGGACAACTATTCGCTGTCTAAAGATGTTCTGGCTGGGTGCAGTGGTTCATGCCTGTAATCCCTGCACTTTGGGAGGCCAAAGCGGGCAGATCACCTGAGATCGGGAGTTTGAGACCAGCCTGACCAACATGGAGAAACCCTGTCTCTACTAAAAACACAAAATTAGCCAGGTGTGGTGGCACATGCTTGCAATCCCAGCTACTCAGAAGGCTGAGGCAGGAGAATCGCTTGAACTCGGGAGGCGGAGGTTGTGGTGAGCCGAGATCACGCCATTGCATTCCAGCATGGGCAACAACAGCGAAACTCTGTCTCAAACAAACAACAAAAAAGATGTTCTACAACAGCCCATGATGTCTGGGAGTTTTTAAATAAAATTTTAAAATGCATTTATGACTACAAGAGAACCACTCAAACCCAATTATGCATCTCACGAACAATTCTAATTTTATAGTTTAGTCACATAACTATCCTCACTTTGCTTGGTTTACATACAGACTGCCTAAAATAAGCTTTTTCTTTTTTTTCTTTCTTTATTTAAAAATTTTTTTTGAGACAGGGTCTCACTCTGTTGCCCAGGCTGGATGGCTCACTGCAGCCTCAACCTCCCAAGCTCAAGAGATCCTCCCACCTCAACCTCCTAAGTTGCTGAGACTACAAGTGCATCCACCATATCCAGATACTTTTTTATTTTTTGTAGAGATAGGGTCTTAGGATGTTGCCCAGGGTGATCTCCAACTCCTAGCTTCCAGTGACCTGCCTCGGCCTTCCAAAGTGCTGGGATCACAGGCGTGAGTCACCACGCCCAGCCTAAAATAAGCTTCCCACCAAATGATCCATTCACCTTTGCTGTTTATCCGAATATACCTATCATCCACTCATGTGCAATTTAAATACTTTATTAATCTGTCATTAGTTTAATGATGCCTCCATCAGCATGATTCTGTGCACTTGGGAGCATGTACATATGAGAAAGTCTTATATTCTAAGTCTCACTGTTCAGCCCAGTCCAACAAACATTCACTGAGCACACTTATGTGTGGGCACTGTTCTAAGTGTTAGGCATACAAGCAGCAGTGAACCAGATAGAAAAAAAAAAAGCCTGCCCTCAGGGAGTTTATGTACAAAGAGTGGGAGATAAGCAAGAAAAAACAAATTATGTAAAAGGTTTTGCCAGATGATGCTGCGGGCTACGGAGAAAATAAAGCAAAGAGGAATATGAGGGGGACAGATTACAATTTTAGTAGTGGTCAGAGAAAGCTTTCACTTGAACAAGAACATGAAGAAGGAAATAACTATGCATATATATGGGAGAAAAGCATTCCAGGCAGAGGGGACACTAAGTACAAAGATGTCTAAGAAGGTAAATGCTCGGCAAGTTCAAGGCACAGCTGGGAGGCCAGTTAGGCCTGGCCTAACTTTTATTCTGAGTAAGACAGAAAACTACCAGAGGATTTTGAGCAGAGTGACATGATCTGACTTATGCTTTAAAAGGATCACTTTGAGGCAGGGTACAGTGGCTCATGCCTGTAATCCCAAAACTTTGGTAGGCCAAGGCAGGAAAATTACATGCAGCCAGGAGTTTGAGACCAGCTTGGGCCACGTAGCGAGACCCCTGTCTCTAAAAAAAAAAAAAAAAAAAGAGCTGGGTGTGGTGGCACATTCCTATAGTCCTAGCTACTCAGAAGGCTGAGGCAGGAAGATCCCTTGAGTCTGGGGCTGCAGTGAGCTATGACAGCAACACCGTACTCCAGCCTGGGTGACAGCAAGACTCTGTCTCTAAAAACAATAAAATAGAAAGAAATAAATAAACAAATACAGGATCATTTTGGCTGCTGGACTGGTAAAAGACTGAGAGGGCCAAGGACAGAAGAAGGGCCCAGTTAGGAGGCTTCTGTAGTAATGTAGGCGAGAGTGGCAGCAGTGGAAGTGAGATACAGATAGATTCTACACAGATTTTGAAGGCAGAGCCAATAGGATTTACTGATGGATTGGATATGGGGGTGTAACAAATCAAGCATGACTCCAGGATTTTGGTGCAAGCAGCTAGAAGGATGGAGTAGCCATTTACTGAGATAAAGATTTTAGGAGATGCTTTGGGTATCTTGAATGTAAAGCGGCTATCAGACATCCAAGCAGAGCTGTGGAGGCAGTAGGTATTAGGGGACTAGAGTTTGGGGACAGAGCTGAGCTAGAGGGACCAATTTGGGTGTTTTCAGCATATATATGGAATTTAAACGAAGGTGGATGAAAGCTTACAGAGGGTGATAAGGAATTAAATACATTTTGACAACTCATGCCACAAATAAAATGTTCTTTAGTACTTGAAAAGAAAATATCAGGCCGAGCCATGTGTCAGCCAAATGCAGCTGTACCCAGGCAAGTTGAGCAAAGGCTTCAGTGAGCCCCCGCATGGCTGAAGATGACCTGGGGAGGCACACCAGCTGCTGGGAGAAGAGCATAAGGCTCAAGACGGAAAATCATAAATCCAATACTATCAAGGAAAACTTAACAATTTTTGATGTCATAACCAGAAAAATTAACCAGCTTCCACAAGCAGAACGGAATCTACCTGAACAGGGATCAGCATATGTTGGATTTAATGCTGCCCTCTGTGGCCTCATAGCAAATAGTCTTTTTCAATGCGTCTTGAACATGGCACAGGCTCTTATAGCTGCTGACTTACCAATGGCAGTGATCCCTTTTCTTACAACAAACACAGCTTACAAAAGTTTTGTAAATTTTCCTTCGAATACAGGTGATTTGAATTGTGAAACCTGTACCATAACAGAGAATGGATTGGTTGGTCTTGCTTTTGGTGGTCTATACCCTGTTTTCTTGTCTATACCTGTGACTGGAGGCCTAGCAGCCTGGTATGAATCAACTCTGTTACCAGAGAAAGGAAACATCTTAAGTTACTGGATTCAAGTGTCTAAGCCTGTCTTTAGAAAGATGTTATTTCTTATTGTGTTCCAGACTGTGTTTGCAGCATACCTTGGGTTTAAACAATATAAACTACTTATAAAGGCCCTTCAGTTACCTGAACCTGGCAGAGAAATTCATTGACTTTAAGCAAACATGTACACAAAAATAAAATGGTAAAAATTAAAAAAAAAATTACAGAAAGCATAACTGGAGTTCAAATTATCACATTTTAGATACAAGGCCCATTTATAAAGACCAAGGTTTCTATACTGTATTTCCTTACAAATAAAACTTACTAGGGAAATTTAAGAATAAGAGCCTCACTCAAAAGTCGGCCAAACGAAGCCACTACTCCAACATCATATTCTCCAGATCCCACGTCCGGCCATTCGTATATTGGAAGCTGAGACTGCACAGCATATTGCTTCACTGGCAGTCCTCTTGGTGATAGGGAAGGTATTGTGACCACCTCCAGTTTGTCGATTAACTCTTCCTCTTGGTTTTCCCTAAGTTAGATTGGAAGAAAAGTATGAGTGTTAAGGCAATGACTCAAAGCTAAAACGACTTCACATATCGCTAAGAATGTGTATGATTAAACTCATGAAGCATTTAGGGCTAAATGATTAAAACTAATGTGAGAGACTGAGTTTTCATTTTTTCTTTTTTGAGATGGAGTCTCACTCTCTCACCCAGGCTGCAGTGCAGTGGAGTGATCTCAGCTCACTGTAACCTCTGCCCCCGTGGTTCAAGTGATTCTCCTGATTCAGTCTCCCAAGTAGCTGGGATTACAGGCATGCACCACCACACCCAGCTAATTTTTGTGTTTTTTAGCGGAGGTGGGGTTTCCCCAGGTTGGCCAGGCTGGTCTCAAACTCCTGACCTCAAGTCATCCGTCTGCCTCCACCTCCCAAAGTGCTGGGATTATACGCGTGAACCACCATGCCCGGCCTCAGTTTTCATTTTTTATTTAATTTTCATTACTTAAAATGTAAAGAGCGACACATGGCTAGTGGCTACTGTTTGAACAGTATCATTCTAGGGATTTCCTGTGCATACAGAAACATATATAGTATGGATACTTTACACAGTTGGGATGTTACATACTGCTTTGCATTTTTTTCCTCTTAACAATGCTATTTATGCCATGATGTGAGTCTTCTTGAAAAATGGGTTACATATACATATACTTGTATTTGCACTGAACATTTCTAGAAGGAACTGAAAACAGTGGCTGTCTCTGGATAAAGGAACTGGGAACTACTAAAGAGAGGCGGAAGGAAGTAACTTTTCACTGTATATCCTTTGAATCCATGGAACTTTTTTTTTTTTTTTTTTTTTTTTTACCATAACCATGATATCATCACACTACTTTTTAAAAAACAAAAATACATAACATGGGCATCATTCCACGGCAGTACATGTATCACTACCTCATACTTTTTACCTACTGCATAGTATTCTAGTACCCAGGGGGGTATATTTATTAAACAGGTATTGTATGCACATGTTGAGGAGTTATGAGGAGTATGTCCTGGGGCACTATAAAGCAAGCACAGGAATAATGCAGCTGCCAAGTGAAGCATCATCAGAAGTATGAGGATAGGCCAGGAATGATGGCTCATGCCTGTAATCTCAGCACTTCGGGAAGCCAAGGTGGGAGGATCGCTCGATCCCAGGAGTTTGAGATAAGCCTGGACAACATGGTGAAAACCCGCCTCTACAAAAAATTTAAACATCAGGCATGGTGGTGCGCGCCCGTAGTCCTAGCTACTCTGGAAGCTGAGGTGGGAGGACTGCTTGATCCTTGAGGTCGACGCTGCAGTGAGCTATGAGCTGGCCACTGCACTCCAGCCTGGGCGACAGCGCGAGACCCCGCCCCAAAAACAAACAAAAACAAAAGTGTTGGTATAAATGTATAAATGCAGTGAGAGACGCATGTGACAACAGCACATGGAGGATGTGCAAAGGGAACACAGGGTTTCCTGCCGGGTGTGTGCACAGTGGGGTGTGTAGAGGGAGGAAAACCACACAGGGGATTGACGAAGGATTCAATACATGAGGGGCTGCAGTGACGTATTTCTAGGGAAGAGGAGATAGGGATGACAAAAAAAGTGGAAGGGGGACTGCGTCAGGAAAAAACAGAATGGGGAAATAAAAAACATTAATTGGGAAAAAGAGAGAAGTAAATATGGTCTTGCCACCACATACCATGGACTCTCAGGACTGGTTGGATTTCAAATAATTTTCTTTCCCAGTAAACAAGACTTGTTAAATATTATGAATACTAAATGTATACCTAACAGTTCTGATTTATAAATTTATCCTTTTGAAAACAGGAAGCTTGTGGACTATGTCCTTGTATACAAGGAGCACAGGGGGAGCAAAAGAGCAAGACATGGGTGTGCCTAAGGAAGGTGGCAGGAGGAGGAAATGCAAAGCAGGGAGAACTTTGAAGTGGGACCGGGTTTTAGTCCGAACCACCTCGGCTGATGACCTTCGGCAATCGCATCACCTCTCTGAGCCACGGATTCCCCACACGCAAAACAGGCAGGGAGGCCGTGGGACTGGCCCGGGGGATGCAGGCAGAGCGCCCAGCCCCGGCTAGGCACAGCGTGGGTGGCGGGGCGTCTGGAGAACCCACAGAAGCGGCGGGGAGTGGGGGTCGCAGACCGCAGGGACTGGGCGCCCAAAGGCTGACCGGCGGGAATGGCGCACCTTCCGGGCGCCGGGAGACGCCAAGATCTGGGCCCACACCGCTATGGCGCCCCTGCTTTCCGCGACCAGAAGTCCAAAACCCTCGGGGCCGGCCGCCCGGGCGCCGCCTGGGGGCCTTCAGCGGCCGGGTTCCCGGATCCCTGGCCCGGGTACCTGGCGGCGTGCAGCGCCCGCAGCGCCTCGCGGGCAAACTGGTCCGTGCCGAAGAAGAGCACCCGCCAGGGAGGCTTCTCGCGGACTCTGGAGTCCTCCCAGCCGAGCCGGGCCAGCGCTCGCCACTGGGGACTCGGCCTCCCACGCCCAGCGCCATGAGCCAGCGGAGGACCCCAACAGCGCCGCACCAACACCCTCATCGCCTAGGCTGCCGGCGGCCCGCTCTGCGCAGGCGCGTCGGGGCGGGGACAAGGGTGCAGCCTGGGGCAGGCGGGGCTTGCCTGCTTGGAGGCGGGGTCTGGTTGGAATTGGTGAACGAATTTGCCCGCTACAGCGGCCCTAGATTTTTGTTCTGTTTATTTGCACTATGTAGCCAATCCTCCCGATTAAGTCTTTCTTTTCTTTTTAAAATCATTTATTTATTTATTTATTTTTAAATTTTTTTTTCTTTCAGAAAGGGTCTTGCTCTGTCGCCCAGGATGGAGTGCTGTGGCGCGATCACGGCTCACGGCAACCTCACTGCTCCTGGGCTCAAGGGATCCTCCCACCTCACCTTCCGGAGTAGCTGAGGTACAGGCACACATCACCATGGTCAGCTGATTTTTTGTAGAGACAGTATCTCACCATGTTGCACAGGTCTCAAGCAATCCTCCTGCCTCGGCCTCCCCAAGTGCTGAGATTACAGGCGTAAGCCACTGAGCCGGCCCAGGATAAGTCTTTTGGTAACAAATCGTACGTGTTTCGGACAATGAAACCTCATGTATGTAGTGCATGTCATTTTCTCAACCATTATAACCAGTATTTGCTGAGTACGTTTTTGCTAAGCATTTTGTATTCATTATTCTGGTTAATCATCAGGTCAACCTTAGGAGGTAAATACTATTACAACCACGTTACTGAACAGAATCTGAGGCTCTGTGAAAGTAAGGACTTATCAGTGTATGAGGTTCACACAGCTAGTAAATGACAGAGCAGAGGTGGGACTCTTGTAATTCCAAGGCTTGTGATCCTAGCCGTTTGGCCTTCACAGCGATCCTATGTATTAAGCAAGTCAATTACCCACATTTTGCACCTGAGGAAATTGAGGCTTAGTTACTTGCCTGCAATTACCTTCCTGAATCGAAGGTTCCATCTTTACTCCTCCCCTGTGGGTTCCTTTGCACACAGAAGGATACCATAGAGGTGATTCCTAGGGAAAATGGACAGGGAACCTTATCCCCTGAAGACCTCTGAGGACCGTTAGTGCTTAGATTCTGTATCCCCAAAGCGTCCTTGAGTAGAATCAGACATCCATGAAACAGCATCTGAGCACAGACCTCAACCGAATTTTGTTCTAATCTAATTCTCCCCCCCCCCTTTTTTTTTTTTTGAGACAGAGTCTTACTCTGTTGTCCAGGCTGGAGTGCAGTAGCACGTGATCTTGGCTCACTGCAACCTCCGCTTCCCAGGTTCAAGTGATTGTCCCACCTCAGTTTCCCAAGTAGCTGGGACATGCGCCACTATGCCTAGCTAATTTTTGTATTTTTAGTAGATATGGGATTCACTATGTTGACCAGGCTGGTCTTGAACTCCTGACCTCAGGTGATCTGCCTGCCTTGGCCTCGCAAAGTGCTGGGATTACAGGCATGAACCACTGCGCCTGGCCATCTCACCACCTTTTCCCATCACACAGTCTTAAACCCAGTGACCCTGGACCAGTCCTTTTTCCTAATTTATGAGCTCTGCACATCCCTGCTACTGCGCCTTTGCTCACGCTCTCCTTCCTAGACTGCCCTCCCACATCATTCCTCTCTAAATTGTATGCATTCTTCAATGCCAAGTTCAGACATTCATCCTGAAGCTTTGAGCTCTTGCCTCTTTAGATTTATTCTTTCTCCATGTGCCCTGTTTTTTGTTGTTGTTGTTGTTGTTCTTGTCTTTGTTTTTGTTTTTGAGACAGAGTCTTGCTCTGTCGCCCAGGCTGGAGTGCAGTGGTGTGACCTCGGCTCACTGCAACCTCTACCTCCTGGGTTCAAGTGATTCTCCTGCCTCAGCCTCCTGAGTAGCTGTGATTACAGGCACCTGCCACCACGTCTGGCTAATTTTTTGTATTTTTAGTAGAGACAGGGTTTTGCCATGTTGGGCAGGCTGTCTCGAACTCCTGACCTCGGGTGATCCGCCTGCCTCGGCCTCCCAAAGTGCTGGGATTACAGGCATGAGCCACCACACTCAGCCCATGTATCCCCTTAATACTCTGTAGGGACCCCCATTTCTCACATAGTTTGGTATTATTGAGGAAGATTTTCTAATGTATGCATAGACATTGAGAAATTCACATGTGTTTTGAATAGAAAAGAGAAGCAAAGAGGAAGATATTCCAGTAATTTTGCTTATCTGATCACATATGAGAAGGAGAGTGAGATGGAACCCCAAACCTCTATTCCCTTGATCAAGTTCTGTTCCAGTATCCTCTCTTAGGGTAAGCAGAATGTGATTCTAATATTCAAAGACTGGTCTTTTCCCATACAGCATGACCTAGAAATACAATGCAAATAGTCATCTGGTTTTCACCTTAGAATTTGGCTGCTGCAGGCCGGGCGCGGTGGCTCACGCCTGTAATCCCAGCACTTTGGGAGGCTGAGGTGGGCAGATCATGAGATCAGGAGATTGAGGCCATCCTGGCTAACGCAGTGAAACATCATCTCTACTAAAAGTACAAAAAATTTGCCAGGCGTGGTGGCGGGTGCCTGTAGTCTCAGCTACTCAGGAGACTGAGGCAGGAGACTGGCGTGAACCCAGGAGGCGGAGCTTGCAGTGAGCCGAGATCATGCTACTGCACTCCAACCTGGGCAACAGAGCAAGACTCTATCTAAAAAAAAAAAAGGATAATTTGGATGCTGCCTAAAGTGTAAACCTTGGTACACTTTAGGAGGAGGAGGCAACAAGCATTTCCACTTCCTGTTCTCATCATCTCACCCCACCCCATGACTATATGGGTATTATATCTGCAGGGCGAGGATAACAGAACAGAACTCCGGTTGGTAAGGTGTCCAACGCCTAAGTCCACAAGAACCCCTGCTTGTGGCCTAGGAGGCAATGCCACATTTGACCAGGGGAAGGACTGCTACACATAGGTGTCAGCCCAGTGCCAGAGGCAGGAACTGACCTCTGGGCACAGCCCAGTGAAGCCTTTTGAGATGCAGTTCCTAACGAGCCACTCCAGGTACAGCCATCACCTGCCTGTGGTTGCATCAGATGCCAGATGCCAGCAAGGAGGTGCTGCCCACCAGTCTGTCCCGTCACAGAACGTAGCGGATAGTTCATTTGCTCCAGTGCCTCTGACGGAATCTGCCCTCTGTGTTGTTACTGCCCTGTGTGGTCCAGTAGATGTCACTCCCTAACCTGTCCAGTCTCTCTGTAAATCAGGGCTGGGGATGAAAGGCCACACGCAGCAGCATGGGTCCACAGGACTCTCTCCTTGAGGAGAGAGACTGGAGAGGTTAAGGGACATCTAAGGGGTGTTGGGAACCCCAGGAAGAGAAGCCAGATATAGCACAGGTAGGAGAAGTAGCCTAACAATATGGACATTTCCTCGCTGCTGCTGAGGGGCGTCCTAGAAAACCAAAATAATATTTCAAAGTACACTTAAAGAGACCAAATCTTAAAAACTTTAGTCCTAACCCCTTACCCCCAGCAAAAATGCTAGACGGTGTTAACAAAGCTGTATGTTGTTAACAGGAGGAAAGACTAGTTAGTAAAATAGCTACAGCTGTGGCCAGTTCTTGTTCTTGGACACCTGTGTTTTTATCCAAAAACACTTTTTGATGCTGTTCTCTGAAATCAGTTTCCACATATGCAGCGATAAAACAGAAGTCCTTTTTTAAACAAAATCACCTTTGCTACTTCCTAGACAGCCACTAGATAGCGCTATAGCCTTGCTTCCTCACCCTTTACCCTCAAGGTGGGACTCAAAGAAGGGCGATTGCATGCAATTGGTGAGTTTCATAGTTTCTAATCAGCTGCTCACTAGCAAGCTTCCTTTATCTACCAACTTCAGAATATGATAAAGAGAGGATGAAGCTACCCCAAGGAAGTTTTGTATAGATTGTTATTATGAATATATATCATGTATCCTGTGTGGGATGGTAGCATATTTCTGTTCATATGTAAGGGCTATCAATAAATACACTTCTAAGAAAATTTTTCCTAGAAGTGTAATAATTTGGTTGGTTGGAGGTGCCTGTGGTATCCTCTTTACATTTTACAATAAAGATTATCATTCCCTGGAGATCTGCCAAAACCTTCTGGTCTATAATACATCCCTCTGTTGGAGATAATGATCATCTCAGTCTTTATGTAAGAGTTATAGAAAGGCTCATTTGCTTATATCCTGCTTTTGTGTGGGAATCCTACTTGCCTCCAATCCGATTTAGCTGACTCTGTAATAAATTAAACCAGAGCTACCCAGTCTTATCATTAACAGGTGGTTTCTGCTCTCTCCTCACAGTTGGCCTAAAGACCCCTGTATATAATAAGTCAGAGATCTTGGCTTCTGGAAAAAATATCAAAATAAAACTTTATAGCCTCAGGGATAGGGGCTGAAGGGGCTGTACCAGGCACTCTTTTTTTTTTTCTTTGAGAGAGTCTTGCTCTGTCACCCAGGGTAAAGTGCCAGGACATGATTTCGGTTCACTGCAGCTTCGACCTCCCAGGCTCAGGTGATCCCCCAGCCCCAGCCTTCCAACTACAGGCACGCGCCACCATGCCCAGCTAATTTTTTTTTGTAGAGACAGGGTTTTGCCATGTTGCCCAGGCTGGTCTCGAGCTCCTGGGCTCAAGCAATCCTCCTGCTTTGGCCTCCCAAAATGCTGGGATTACAGGCTGCACCACAGCGCCTGGCCGAAATGCACATCCTCTTTACAGCGGAAATTCCCTACTGCAGATAGCTTTGCTTGAACTACAATGTGAATGCTGGGGCTTCTTGTGTTGACTGTATGGTCACCACGGTTGCCGCATCCCAAGGACATGGTCACTTCCTTGACTACCTATCTTGCCTCAAGTTGAACATTTGAATTGTTCCTCCTTGTTGGCTATTATGAATAATGCTACTGTGAACATTCATGTGCAAGCTTTTGTGTGGAAATATGTTTCCAGGCTGGGCATGGTGGCTCATACCTGTAATCCCAGAACTTTGGGAGGCCAAGGCAGGTGGATCACTTGAGGTCAGGAGTTCAAGACCAGCCTGGC